TGCGTGATAACACAAATATAGACATCAGCCTCTTTGATGCATTTAACGTTAAGAACGGTCTGATATTACTAATCCTGCGCAGCTCTTGAAAAATCACATTGCAAAGCATGTTAATATGATTTTCTAAAGTATATGTTCTGTCTAAATAGACACCCAGGTCTCGCACTGTATGAGTAAACTCAATCTGCATACGTGAGAGAGTAAGTAATGTTGTGTTTTTCACAGATTTCGTTTCTAAGCAGTGGCAATTGCAGTCTTTTTATCATTCAATTTGAGCTTGTTTATGGTTATCCAGTGCTTAACTGACTCCACAGTCTTCTGTGTCGTACTAAGAAGTACATGCACGGATTGGGTATCATGCAAATTAACAGAAGTATCAGCTTTATATGAAAAAAAAAAATTCATTAAATGAATTAAAATAGTGACGCATATTTTTAAAATGCAATATAGTTATAACTCAAAGCATGCACCCAGCGCTTAAAAAGTTTTTAAACAACTACCATACCAGCATTGATATTTTGTTAGGAATTAATGAGAAACAGAAAGATAGTGAATGTATTGGTGGGGAGTCAGAGTTTAATCTATATTTCTCAAAGAAAGATAAGCTGAATGATATTGCCTATAATTAATGTTGCATGTACATTTTTTTGGTATTTATTTTACTTGTTTACTGCATTGTTTAAATGCCGTTTTTCGACCATTTCCTAAGTCTTTTTTAAGACATCACCAATTTCAGACCTCGTTTTCATAGAAATTTAAAGGTCGTAAAACGGAGATTTTACAGTATATGGAAAATAGAAATGGGGCCCTAGGACCTAATAGGTCTCATAGGGACATTGCTTCTGTTGGACATCGAGCGCGTGCTCATAACACCCCCGTACAAACCCCCACGACCTCGCGGTGACCTGCCATGTATGTCCCCTTCCATTATGGTCTGGTTGACGTCGGGTCGACCGGAAACGCTGCGTTTAAACCGTTCGCAACCGACACTAACGTGTTGTTTTTTTGTTGTTGTTTTTTTGTGCAGGGGGGTGTTTATTTCCACTTTGGAGAAAATGTGTTGCCTTACATCCCACTCCGCCCTCCCCCCCCCCCTCACAGAAGCCAGGGAGATTTTCGTTCAGGATGGAGGGCTGGGACCGAACGTTTGCCCAGAGGCAGCTTTCTGATTTCCGCGTAGCTAAAATCATCGGCATGCCTTATAATTTCCACACAAGCCTCATATCCATCAACGGCAACATGTAATCATGTTACGACATTACCCTCCAGTTGTGTTGGGAGTCCATTGGTCGGCCGGTGGTTTCGGCTTCAAAAGAACAATATCTCCCTACTAGTCCGCCTCGCCACGAAGAGGCAAACCACACGTGAACACCACCAAGTCTTCTAGGAGACACTCCAGCTTGCGCAGGACTAGGCCCAAGCACTAGAGTAATGGACATTATGAGTTCAGTACCCTTTGGTATTTGAATATGAATATTAACCTTTGTGTGTTCTGTTATGTCACGATCCAACTACTTTTATGGGTATTTGTTGCTATTTCGTATAGCACAATTGAAGGAAAAAACGGTTTTGGAGCCTTTGGCATAAAACTGAATATTTTAAAAAAAAATTCAAAACTCTAAGAGAGTTCCTTCCGAATATTTATTGCTAAATGTGTGCCAAGTTTGTACAGATCCATCAATCCATGACAAAGTCTTTGTGGAACAAATCCACATTTTTGCTTTCACATAAATATATGAGCCTTTGGGGATTAGGGGTGATTTTCAAATAAAGTTTATTTTTACTTCTATTAAATATATCTGATATATGATTTTATATGAACTTTTTTCATGCAAAATTAATATAATAACATTGTAATTTCAAGGTGGATATCTGTCAGTCATAGCATATCAAACAAACTTTGATCAATATTTAAATACTGATCATTTTAAAAAAAAAATAAAAAAATCTATTTGTTTTCAAATCTTTAAAAAAATATTATAATCTTTTATTTTTCCTAAACAAATAAAGAATTGAATTTCCAGCTTTATTACACCATTTTGGTTTTCAAAATTTTCTGTTTTGGTCTAAAATTTTCCCATTTTAGTGTACACTTTTAAAAAGTTTTAGTCCAATATTTTTTCTTTTTAATTTAAACAAATTAATGTCATGTTCTGAGTTTGTTTGATTTCTTCTCAGATCACAAGGAGGAAGAATTTATCAACCACCAGTAGAAAAAGGGATTTGTACAAAGAGTAAACACTATCCACTGTTTGAAGTATCCAGAGAATCCTTCGTTACCTGTTTATACTGTGTGTATCTCTAGTACAACACAGCCATAAAGTACGCAATGTCGACACTTTGCCACTGTGTAGTACTTGCCCTATGTCTCACCGTCACAACTGACTTGATATTTGCCCAGGTATAATACAGAATACTGTTGGCTTTTTCTTTTAACCTCATCAACGTTTTTAAGTCTTATTTTTCAATATCCCAAAGTTTCTAAAATTTTGAAATAAATAAACGCCTTACTGTGGGGAACAATATTTTTATGAATATAAAATAATGGAACAATGTAATTTAGGCTTGGAAAAAAGACAGAGCGCTTAAAATGATGATTTGGCTCAATGCTCTCTAGAGCAGAAAATACAAAACAAGAAAACGTTATTTGACATTTAGAAAACAAGTATCTATTAAAAGGAACAAACTTTACATAAGGCTATTTGGGGGTGCTCAAATTTTAATATTTAATTTTTACCTTTTCCATTTGTTGTCTATCCTAGTTTTTTACCTATTATTTCTTGTATTGTCTCAAGTAATAGTACATTAATTTGGACAGGATATCGTGGCAGTAAACTACTACACCGACTTGCGATGCATAGTAAACATATATAACTTATTTAGTTTTGCACATTGTTTCCATAGTCACCACGTGTTTCCATCTTTGATTTTTCTTATCATGCATAGCCTTTTAGGCAAATGACGATGTGTATTCTTTCTTTCTTAAAACAAATAAATACACTTCTTTAAAAAATCACTTTCTGCTTCCAAACAAGAATTTCTATTCAAAGTAGCACTGTAATATTTTTTACGTGAAAATCACATCAATTTTGTTCAACGTTTCTCTATTCATGCAACTTTCTGTGCGTAGCTAGGAAACAAAGGAGGTTTTCAAGCCATTTTATAAAGTTAAGCAAAATCAGTTACTTAATCTCTAAAATAACAATTTGATTGTAAAGAAATTTTTAAGCAGTTATTTTAGATAGGTTCAAAAATTCCAGAATATTCCCATTTGAAACATCTGTTTTTGATGGGTTTTTTTTTTTTAAATAGATATATACATGGCGGCCTAGGAAAAATGATAAAATCTCCGTAGCTTGGGCTATATAATTGAATTAATGTAATCTTTTGTCAGTAATAGTTGCATGCATATTATCAGGCTAATCAGAAAAGCTGTTTAATCTGTCTCCCTCCCCCCACCAACCACACACACCCTGTTTCTCGACGACTTTTCGTAAGCTTCTGACAACGAAACGATGCTATCCCATTTTTTGTGCCTACATGTACATTTATTTAAATATTATATCGAGGTCGCATATCCTTTTGCTGTCGAAGAGGTTTTTGGAAACTGTGGAATAAAATAGAAACTGTTCATGGAAGTTATTTTTAAATATTTAATGGAAAAAAAAAATGATTGTGGCGTCAGGAATGTTTTTAAACATCTGAAACTATCACACTGACTTAATCGTAAGATTGCTAGTACAATGAGAGGCTTCGCGAAGCTCTCGTGTATCTCATGGGCTCAAAGAGGTGATGCAGAACCCCCCCCCCCCCCAATGTGCATCGATTTAATCCGGCAACAAATACACCTTAATTTGAAAAAGGGCGGACGGAGACAAAGACCGACAATGTCTCTGGGTCCATCCAAATTGCTAGATAAATCTAGTGAAATCTAAGTTAGGTTTACTTGTACAAGAACAACACCATCACAGGCACGCTAGAGTCTCTTTATTCTTAAAGACGATAATTGTTGTTTTTTTAAAGAAAAAATAATATTTTAACATAACAAATCTAGGAGACAATGCATTTTTTCAGGTTATTATTTTTGTTGTTATAGTTATCTTCCAAACATCTAAGGATAGTTTGTCTACATTGTCTTTGATGATATATTTTTTTTAGCAATTAATACGCATATTTTTTCTTTACAATACTTTTCCTCGAGGCAATACCATTAAAATTTTCATATTCGATGTTTTGTTTTTTAAAATTATTTCTCAGGGATATTGCAGAATCAATCAACTCACCAGAGAGAATCCTCTTTACTGTAAGTATTGTTTGTACTATATAACTTGTGATATACGAAACAAATCATTGTAACTATGGATTTAAAAAACAAAAATCAAAAACTGAAAGATTATAAAACCTCTAACGAATGCAGGCTTTATAGTACTTGACATCAATAGACGATTTAGCAAATATTTTATTTATAACTGTATTTTACATTTCTGTACTCAGGGCCTCATTTGAGCTTTACAGATTTCCCCACCAGCCATAGTTTTCAAATATATGAAGATGGCGTGTTGTCATGTAAAGTTTTTGGTCACCCTATCCCAAAAATTCACTGGATGAAAGACGATGCAATTATATCTCAGGTAAGAACCTTGTTGATCACTCACTAATCGAAATGTTCGAAGTTATTTTCTATTGTAATTAAAAAGCAATAACCTTTACTTTGTCCAGAATAGCGCATTGTATGTGCAATAAACTGCATTTAAAAAATTCATATATGAAGTTACGATTTTTATCATCTATAGACAATCGTTAAGAATTTTTGGGAGTTCAAATTTTTTGATTGTAAAATGAGTTTCTTGAAAGAATTTTTGTTTTAATGTTGTAAACTCTAGTGTAAGATATATTTCATTTTACGTAACAAAGTCCAATGTATCGGTCATGTATCAAGAATTTATTGTTATTATTTGTGAGTGTTCTTTGTAACAAGACTTGTGATCTCTTCCAGAACAGCAACCCACACGATGATGAATTTCCAGTGTACGTGCAGAATGATGAATCGTCAAAGCTCGAGGGTGGCGACACTTTTTCTCTTCTGTACCTGGACTGTGTCAACGTGTCAGACGCGGGGATTTACACGTGTGTCGCCGTGACACGAAATTTGATAGCAACACAAGTGCACAATGTCACCGTTGGTGAGTTTGAGTTTCATTTATTATTTAACGCTTCCACACTACAAAGCTAAGAAAGGTTTTCAATTCTACCCATACACACATTTGAAAACAAGACAATGTATTCAACCCTACCCATACACACATTTCAAAACTAGACAAGGTATTCAACTTTACCCATATGCAACATATTAAAACTAGGCAAGGTATTTAACTCTACACATTTACAACATTTCTATATAATTTAAAAAGAAATGATTGCCAATCAATGTATTATTGTCAAGATCAGAAATTCTCAAAAGCTAAAATTAAAACATGCCCTGATTGATATTATTGTTACCGTGTGTTCTTATATATTTTAGGTCCATGTCAAAGATAGAGCATCATGGATTCTAACATATTCTGAAAAACATAGATAATAGCATTCAATGTAATCGAAATAAGATTGATATGAATTTTGCGATAATTTGTACCTGCTATTGCGCAAACTTATAACAATTCAAAGTTATAAAAAGAAGTATTTTTTTGTAATAATATTTAGGTTTCTAACATCATTTTAAGTTTTAAGAAATACTTTTCAGCTAAATATTATACACCAAACCTAACCTTTTAAATTACCACATCTAAATGATCACTATTTGAATCATTTTTTAAATTAAAGTTGTTCATTTACGGCTGATTTCTACGCTGGAGTCATACTTTAGATGTCTAGTGTTTTTGAACTGTTAATTGTTGGGCTTACACTAACACTTTGCTTGACCTTTAACTTAAAAAAAAATGTTTCTCTAAAAATTTTGAAAATTTCATATTAAATTTAGAACAAAATCGCTCTATATCATATTAAATATATTTTATATTAACGGAAATTGAAAACTGACCCTCATCCGCATGTCCCTTAGTCCTTGGAAAGTTGGGGCGCCACAGATGACATGTGAAACAACCTCCTCCATTCGTCTCTGTCTACAGTACTACACAACGCATCGCCCAGTGTTAGTCCTGTCCACTCGTTATCCTCCCATCTTTTTCTTTGTTATCTTCTTCTTCTCCCTCTTCTTGTGGTGCCGGCAATATTTCTTTGGCAAGCTCTTGTTTCCTTGATACCAGCTTTCTCCATTGATTTCTGTAACTGCCTTCAAATATTTTTTAGAGAGATGTTTTACATTTTATAACATTAAACACCCACTTTACTTTTTGCAAAGCAAAAACAAAATTAGAGTTCAATTTTGAAAAGAAAATCTCAGCCCATTGCTATTTAAAAAAAAAAATTAAATGTTCCCTTCATAAATGGATTGTTATAAGATTATATTGTTGTAAGATTTTTGTAAAGGTACCCAGGATTTCTTAACGACATTGATCTTCATAATTGGTAATCATACGTTTATTTGTAAAAAGAGAAGTAAGCATATATTTTTTTTAAAAAGTATATTATCATTGGATTTAAAGATATTATCATCCACATAAAAATTTACACGTATAATTTCCTCAATTTAATATATATGTAAATAAGAGTGTTAATAATTCATCAAATTCCTTCGTTTATTGGGTGAGTTACCTTGTAACAACCCTAAATAGATTTCAATAAAAATTATTAAATTAATTCAGGGAATTGTAGCCCCCTACGTACGCAACCACATATGTTTTGCACTTCACATTATTTGTTGTTATTTGGATGAGTGATAATTGTATTAGTTAATGCTATGGGGCTATGGAGTTTCGCTGCACAGATTTAATTAATGGCATTTTCTTATTAAAAGTATATTTATGTTTCTAATTACTTTATAAATTTAATGAAATGGATTTTTTGAATGAAAAAAATTGTATTAAATAATATAAATACAAAGCTAATTTTCGATTTTGTTTAAATAACAAGTTTAAAAGCAATCAGTTATAATTGTTAACTTTACTTGTAAGAAAAGGAAAATGAAGCATACGTTTTGTTTTTATTAAATCAAAGGACTTTTAGCAATGGCCAAAATAGGAAATTCGCACTATGACGTCATTTGCGTGTTTATCTAGAACTAAGAATTTTTAATTTTATTTAGCAATATTTACAACGCACTGAAAAATCACAAATAACAGATGATTGGGTTTTCCTGATAAATATAATTACAATGTACATGTTAGATTATAATTTTTTTTTATATTAAATAGTTTTTTGTTTTTTAAAATAACTTTTAAACGGTGATAAAATGCTAAAAATTGTTTCTATATTGTTATATTTAATGTATGTATAATTTATAATAATAATGCTTTAACCGATGAGGAATTATTTATTTTTTTGCGCAATGAAAAATTATTCGATTTCCGAAAAAATATTGGAAATCGCTCTAATTGTTATAAAAAATCAAAACGTTTTTCAATCGATTCTCTTCTTTTTCCTGGTTTTATCGTCAGCCTAGTTCATTCTTAAATATAGAATCAACATTATTTAGTATTCCTAATTCTTCCCTAGGTCAACATCCAGTGGTATGTCCAATATGTCGTAAGGACAACCTTGGAGGTAAGCCTTCGCAACTCACAGATTTCTTTTGCATACATTAATTTTCTTGATTGAATTCAGCTGATCATTGGGTAGAAGGTTTTGAGATTATTCTTTGTTTCATTTTGTTGTGAACGAATTCATAAACGTGTTTGCCTTCATTTGGTCAGATCGGCCAGCCAGAATTTACATGTGGACCACACAACGATTGGAATTCCAACACGTGGTTACCCAGTTGTACTGCCGTGCTGATGGCACACCTACTCCAACCATTTCATGGTTAGATCGTTATGGCAGGCCCATAGTCAGTGGACAAAATTACACGGTAAACAATCTTATTTATAGATTTAAAATCTTTTAAACAAAATATATGATTAGAAATCATAAATATGGAGACGGACATAAGCATTGTAAGAGTTCAATTCTTAAACATATTTATTGATTGACCGTAATAACACCGAGATGATACATAAGAAGTGATTTAAAACATTAGAAGTAACAACACTGAGAGTGCACAGAACAAGTGCTTTAAAACATTAGAAGTAACAACATTCAAAGAGCACAGACCAAGTGCTTTAAAACAGTAGAAGTAACAACACTTAGAGTACACGGACCAAGTGCTTTAAAATCTTAGAAGTAACAACAGTAAGTGGGCACAGACCAAGTGCTTTAAAATCTTAGAAGTAATAAGACTCAGTGCGCACAGATAAAATGCTTTAGAATATTAGAAGTAACAACAATACGAGTGCCCAGACCAAGTGCTTTAAAACATTAGAAGTAACAACACTGAGAGTGCCTTAAAATATTAAAATTCAACGTTTTTTAAATGTATTTTGCTTTTTTTTTTTCCTTCAGATTACATCTGTCGGTGACCTTTTTATCAGGAATCCCACCTCGTACAACTTTGGGGCGTATACTTGTAGAGCAGTTAATAGAGCAGGCAGCGACTCTCAGTGGATGTTCTTTTACCCAGTAAGTTCCACTTACCATCTTCTAGATGGTGTAGTCATAACTAAATATTACACCAGGTATCATGGATTTGGATTTACGTTAACGCTTAATAGCAACAATAAACATAGTCGTGTTACCTCAACCACTGATGTCTCGTATTTACTTTGACTAAAATGTGTATTGCTCCCGCCCCCCCCAAAAAAAACAACGAAAACACACAACTTCTAATTAAATAAACGCATGATACATTTCGTAGATCGATTTGAGAAATGCACAAAGCTTAAGGAAAAATAAATCTTCTTTTAGATCCCTCTTTTAACGTATTTTTTTGTGTGTTCCAGTTATAACCAGAATGAAATTTGCGAGCCTTATGGCCTTGATGTCATCACCAAACTGAATTCTCAAGGTCAAAGTCTAGTCAGCAACTAGGGTCCGCTTCAAGCTTTCCTTTCTCACAAATGTCGAAAATCATGTGATGAGGGAGAGAGAGAGAGAGAGAGAGAGAGAGAGAGAGAGTTGTTATTTCAATAAATTAATGTTGCAACTATGTCATTTCAGTAGTTAATATGTCAATCTCAATCATGTTTGCTCTGATACGTACAGTACTCATAACGTATTTTTTTATATTGTTACAAGGCGTTCTATCTCTCTCCGTTTATATCGATCTACAAGTTTACAATGCTTTCTTTTAATATCAAAGGTATTATTAACACTGACTGAACTAAATTTTAAGCATTGAATTAAACTGGACTACATTAAAATACGGTAGCTAGAAATAAGAAATGTAAACAGTTAATAAAAAAGGAGAAACACATTACTAACTTATCACTTATTAAAGAGCTAATTAAATCTTCTTTCATAAGCTGTAAATTTTATACACTTTTCTAGTAAACACAATTAACACACAAGAATGACAGTATAAGAAACCTATTAAATAAAAACGAATATGTTTCGACACAAAATATAGCTCGCAATGCGCTCTGCACGAACACATAGCCATTTAGGATCTCTATAAAAACATAGCTAGCAAGGCCCTCTGTACAAACATATCTCGCTAGGCTCTCTGCACAAAAATATAAACCATACTATCGACACAAACTAACTAGCCAGAATCTTTGTACAAACATAGCTAGCCAGGCTTTTTACACAAACATAGCTAACCAGGCTCTTTACAGACACAAATCTATCCAGGCTCTCTACACAAAAATAGCTAGCCAGGCTCTTTACAGAAACAAATCTATCCAGGCTCTCTACACAAAAATAGCTAGGCAAGCTCTCTGCAAAACACAGCAACGTTTTATTTTAATTCAGCCCGCGCGTTTTCCCTTCTCTGACATCGATATCCTGATCCTCCGCGATGGTTTCAGTCTAATTTCACCGAATGATCTCATTATGATATGATTATGTTTGTAGAGGTTTTAACGTTCATTTTTCAAAATTTGCATGTTACAAACTACACGTATATTCTGTCCGGAAAATAAGGTTCGGTTTAACTACATCAGCCTTTCATCTCACACAGTGTTTGAGCACTTTTCTGAGCTGTCGGATAACATTTATGATCAACTGTGTACGAGATGTAAATATTTCCATTCATACTCAGTAACTCTTGATTGAAAGCACAGACGTTACTGAAACTGAACAGCTCTCAATATTGGTCCGTGGAGCTTTAATGAAAATAAATCACTACGTAATGTGAGCAAAGGTTGCACAAATTTTCATTTAACATGTTTAATATGGGAGTTTTTATTTCCTGATTGTCAAAAAGATAGTCTTTTTCTTATTTTGAGGTAAAGTACACGAACTTTTTAAATATTTCAACTTGGTGACTTAACAATTATCGTCCTCTGTTCCTACGTTTCATGGACGGAGTCCCGCTGCCACCGTCTATCGTTTAGATGAGTTACAAAAGCTTGTGACGTCATACGCTACCTACGTCAAGCATGAGGTTATTAACCTATCTGCCCTGTATTAGGTTTAGTGTACAACCGAATTTCGGCTTCGACTTCGGTGTCAGCTCTAATTTAAACTTTTGGCAATGATCGTAAGCGATTGAGATTCTCGGTCATCCACCAGAAGTCAGACTGTCTGTCTCTAGGCTGACAAACTGATATTGATTTTGACTCGACGTCTCACTGTCTTCGTATGTTATAAGACTAATACTTTACGAAAACTGCTCACATCTGCATTATGGCCTACTTGTCGTTTATTTTCAAAAAATTAATTTCATTTAAGCCTAGTCAAGTGAAAATAATTTTATGAAAGACAAAATTATGGAATGGTAATGTTCATATAATTATGTTTGCTTAAATTTTTTTCAAAAATAAAATTTCGAACCCTAACTACATTCAATTCATTCAATTTGATTTATCATTATCATGCTCATGTTGTCACAGACGAAGTTGAATGATATTGAATAAACAAAGGGATTAGTAATATTTTAATTATTATTTTCATTTCATTTTACAATTTAATATTAGAGAAACATTGGCTTTTTCAATTAACTTATCTCTTAAAATTAATCAATATCATGCTCATATAATTTTTTATTGAAGAAATAACATGCGTTCGTATAGTAATTATATAGTAGGCAAACTAAAGACCTGTTTAGTTTGCTGATTTTGGCAACCAATTTAGATTTCTTTTGCGATTCTCCCAAGAATCGCCAAAACAAGAATTTTAAATGACCAGGTTAAAAAAAATATTTTGCTCCAATTATGGGTTTGAGGGAGATTGATAGCCGAGCGAAATAATTGCGTCACTGGCACTGAAATACTAATGTGTTGGTACTTGGCTAAATCTGACTACAGCGATGGCTTGCCAGCTGTTTATGAAAAAAACCAAAAGAAATTGTATGACAATTACCCAAAAATTATTTTGTGATATTTTTATAACCTTTATAACTGATATTATGGTGACATTTATCTCTATTAGAGTCCCACAAATTGTGTTAGATTGATGTCTATGTAACGTTGTAATTATATTATATAAAAAAAGGACACTCAACGGCATTTTTTGGAATGAATTCTCTCCCCCCCCCCCGGTCACTAGTCTATTACCACAATATTTTAAAATACATTTTTAAGAAATTTGAATTATTTCTAAATTAAAATGTTCAAAATCAAAGTATTATGTAGATTATTTGTATTTATTTATCTTTTTGTGATCTCATTAAGCTTTTGATTTCAGCTTTAGTTTTGGCTGAAAGTCTCATGAAGCTTTTATTTTGGGCTTGGTTTCGGCTTAAAGTAATTTTTTAAATGTCGGGTTAGTTTCTGTTTCGGACGAAATAAAAAAAAACAACAACTTTTGTTTGTTCTCTAATCAGGTTACCTACGCCTTGTCCTGTATAAGATTATCTACCCCCTGTCAAGTATTAAGCTGCCAATGTCGTGTCTAATTTCAGGTGAATCCCTTATGTCCTTTCCTTTATCAGTTTATCTACTTCCTGCTCTGTATCAAGTTGTCAATGTCCTGTCTAGTTGTAAGGAGGTACATAAGTCGTGCCCTGTAGCATGTTGCCAAGATCCTGCGCTGCGTAAACGAGCCCACCCACTAAATGTTCAGTATTAAGCTGCATATGAACTGTCAAGTGTCATTGAAAGTTGTCTGCATTGTCGAGTCAGCCACAAACTGTGCAGTGTCGGCGAGATGCTTACATCCTGCCCAGTGTCCGATGAGCTGTCCCCATTCCGATACCTGTCAAGTCACATATACCAGGACCCTAATGTATTCTGTGTGATTTATATTTTTAAAAAAACAACGATTCCACAACCAAGGAAAGTTTCAAGTTTTCATTTGTTTTTTACCTTTGTGTTTAAATAGTATGTAGAGTTAAATTGTTTACATGTGTAGAATTACCTTTTTGCAACAATTTTTTTATAAAGGCAATGTTTGGCACTTAAACTTTAGGTATTTATTATTCACTAAATTCTCTCCCCTAATTTGTATTATTATGTCTAGATATGTCAGTGGAAAATGGAGTTAAGAAGAAATTAGGCACGTAGGTATATTTCTTTGTTATACGGCAGAGAAAAAAGGGAATTTATAAGAGTAAAGTTAAAAAAAACAAGTATGGAAGGTAAAACGGAAAGAAAAGGTGCTGGGTGGCCTGGACTCAAACCAAAAAGCTGGTGGCCTGTATTTCAATACCCACCAAAGTCAACATCCCAAGCTCCCTGGTTGAATGGGATGCGAGAGCCCTGGACAGAAACTGAACTAAGAAAAGATAAATTCTGAATTCAATTTAAGATCAAGAATGATCAATAATGATCGTGGGCCCTGAAACATAAAAAGAAGAAGAAGATATAGAGCTAAACAGAGAGAGAAACAACGTATAGCCAGTAGGAACACAAACTTAAACATGAACAGAGAGAAGAAAAGTATGGCTAAACAGAGAGAGTACAAATCTATAAATAGACAAAGAGAGAAGGCAACAGAAAGACGGTAAATTGATAGAGAGAAAAATGCATATTAATGTAACGACAGTGACTATAATGAGAGTCATATGAAGAAATAGATTACATTTAACGTATTTACTTTGAGAACCCTTGTGTTCAATTTCATGATTTGACTGATAGCTAATCTAACTAAAAATAAATTAGTTAATGGGTAAACGGTGATACTGAGCGTAACAGTGAACCAACTCATAACTCTGACCCTGAGCCTGATTTGCCTTTGCAACTTCATTTTATGGTTAATTATGCTAAATAAGAAAATGACATTATTTCCTATGCTTACGAGACAGTCTCCTCAAAATATTTAAATGAATGTGAAACTGAATTGTTAATTGGTCCGTCAGTGGACATCACAATGGATAGCAAAGATAACGAAGTTGTTTGCTACTCCTAAAGAGTCCCGTCGAAAGAAAACAAACAAACGAATATTTATTAAGGTAGAAGTCATCGGGAATGACCATAGATGGACGCATGAAGGAGAGCGCCCGAGTGCCACACTTTGTAATGAATTGTTAGTTACGAAAACGGGTTGTTTTAAAAGCAAAGACAACTCTGGTGTAATGTCTGAAGACATGATTTTTTGGTGTATCTCAAGGTAAGCTATCATTAAATGTAAGTCATGGAGCCAAATTTCTGATTTTTTTTTATTTTGAGGAGGTGAGTGTACTCACTGAGATGGGGGGAAGGGGAGAACATTGATTTTAATATATTTTGTGATAAAGATGAGTCGCTGAAAAATAATATTGTGTGCAGATGTTGCTTAAGTTTACCTTTTGTTACAGAGAGCTTTAGTGAAAATAAATCACTAGGTAATGTGAGCAAGGTTTTATAAAATTGTATATGGTTTCTCGGAACTGTAATGACGATAATTTACTACAAATGATAGCAAAGTCTGAACAAAATTTAATATTGTTACAGTGGGTTTTATTGATAATGAATCACTAGTCAATATGAGAGAAGAAGGCTCCTGTTTTCTTTTTGTTACATAGAGCTGTAATGAAGATAAATTACTATGAAATTTGAGCCATGG